TACAGCTGGAATATGCGATTTAGTAACCCGTGGAAGGTTAGTAAATGCATCTAGTTGCAAGGTTGTTTGCTCAAATTATTAGAGCACAGTTCCAGAATATATATTATGATAATTTATTTTGATAATGCTGGTTTAAATCCAAGTTGGTTTAGCAGAAATTGTATGCCTCCAATTAAGCTAAACCATTGGTTATGAGAATAAAACTCCCAAATCGAAATTTGGTATGAGGTATATTATTTAATATACAACAGCACTTGTACGCATCTAGCCAATAAGTTATGATAAATTCTCCCCATCACAATTGGTTCAGGGTCAGGAACCAAATATTCCCATGTAGAAATATGGATGTGCTATATGATTTAATTGTGCTGTCACATTGCACAAAGATGGGTTCCCAAAGAAAGTTGGGAATTGTGTTGGTGATCCCAACATTAGGAGAAGAAAATGAGCAGCTGAAAAAAAGTAATACATGGAATGAATTATTATGAGTATACCTAGATCCTCGTACAAGAAAATGTGAATTTGAAGTTCAAGTGATAATTCATTTCCAAAATATTGTCAGACGCATTTGATGACCCAAAGCTAAATGTCATATTTCAGCTGTTAATATTCCAAATAGAATAAAGTCCATGATGGACATAGTCTGTGGAACGCATGAAGCGTAATAGACTAATCGGTTCCAAAGATAAAACTCATTGAAGAAGGAGAGGAGCATATGTTCAAGATGGTCATAATAAGGAGGCAAGTGCTTTATAAGAGCACCATGACATAACACTTTATAAGACCTCATGGGAGAGGCTCAGGTACCTGAAAATAATGAGATCTCGATAAGTTATGTCTTTATTGTGCGATGATGGAACCGATGTAAAATGATCATCGATGATGTTGTTAATATAATGTAGCGCTCAATATTATTAATATTGACGAGGATCTTGAGCTCAAATCTGTCATGGAATTTGGACAGATAAATGATTGGCCAAATGAAAAATATGCAATGAAATTGACTTCACCTGAAAAATGTGAAGTTGGACGGATAGTCTCCACACCTGAAAGTGAAATGAAAAATCAAGTTGATAGACTTAAAGATGACTTGTGGCACAAAATTTTCGTAAATATCCTGGTATTAGGAGACATGTTCTCCTGTGGGGAATGGAGTCATTTCAGATTTTGGCCTGACAATACATTTGATATGCATATAATGAAAATCCTTGAATAATTTAAATTGTTCTGAAGCATATTAAGGTTCCCAAGAAATTTATTAAATAAATCTTCGGCAAATCCTTATGTAGATTAGAGCGATCATGGCGTACATGATTTATTTTTGTGTCTAGTGCAGTTGGTGCACTAATATATCTGGCTAGAACCGTGAGTATAACAATATTCTAGCAAGATATAGTTTTATTTCAATGTGGAGATATTGGAATACAATTAGTATTATATTTCAAAAGGAATACTTGATGTAGATTTGTTTATTCTAACAAATATTGCCAAGATTTTGTTGGTTATGCAAATGCAGGCATTTTCCTGAAGTTCGTTCTTTAAACTTTCTATTTGCCTGTGAGAGTACTGCCATATTATCATATTACAAGGCATTTAATTGTTGATACTTATTCAAGTCATGCCAAGATAAGCAACTGATAAAGCAATGGGCTCAACACACAACAAACGTGTGACTTGACTTTGAAGAGAAGATTCCAATAATACTGAAGATAGTGTTGTTTGCTTATATTAATTAAAAGAAGGACTATCGAAGGAGACAAAATAAAGCACATTCACCAAAGTTCTTCAACAGGTTTGTTCAAGTGATAATTTGACAAACTTCTTCACAAGACATTGCGGATCTCAATATCAGAGAAGTTATTATACAAGATTGGAATTCGTGATGTTTTCATCAGGGGGAGGCAAATACGCGCTGTACTCTTTTTCCCTTAGCTAATGTTTTATCCCAATGGGTTTTCCTTGCAAGGTTTTTAATGAGGCAGCAAATAATGGTATTACAAGATATGTGTACTCTTTTTCCTTCACTAAGATTTTTTCCCACAAGGTTTTTTCTTAGTAAGGTTTTAATGAGGCACATTGTCTATAGACATCCAAGGAGGAGTGTTATGAAATATTATCTTGTAGTGGAAGTCTATAACTCCTAAAGAAGTTACTCCCACTACTCTTCTCCATTAAGTAGATAACTCTCACTACTTCTCACCATTATAGTTGTAACTCCCACACCTCCATAACCTCCCCATGATCTTTCCCCGTGATCTCAATAATTAATACCATGTTTATGATATCCCTTTGTATACCTCAATGTCATCCTATAAATAGAGGGTTTGGACACCACATTGTACACACTTGAATACATGGAAGAAATAGATTCTCTTCTCTCTTTCTCTCTACATTGTTGTCTATCTTCTTGTTTTATATTATTACTTTGAGCTAAGTTTCGTAAAAAATCCAGCATTGACTTAAAGGACTCAAAAGGAATAAAATACGAATTTAAGGGCAAAATTCGAAGGAAAAAAAAACATAAAAATACACATGGAAAAGTCAGTAATTTGTAGTAGTTCCAACAACCAAAATCAGAAGAGTCCCACACTCTCCCGCCCTCACTATTTTCGATGTACTATTTATGTTCATCATATAAATATTTCTCCTTTTCTTTCTAACTAATTCACATTAAATACCTACTAACAGATATTTGGATTTATCGATTTTGTTACTCTA